CTTATTAAAACGCTCGGACCGAGCATTTTGATTGGACGAACATTTCTTGGTCCTACGCCTTCCACAGAATATATAAATACATTTAGACCACTTAACTTAATGATTGCTATCGTGATGTGAAGAGACTTTCAACCAGCATAACAAAAAATGTTTCTGAAGACAATCACCTATTGCACCTTTAAGTACCAGATATGGGTGTCATGCTGTTTTTATACAGTCTATGGTGTCATGCCATAAAATATTTTTAATACGACTGACTTTGTATTTAATGTGATTTTAATAACAATATTGTAAGTTTCTAATTATAACACTTTCATTTTACAGACACTGAGAGCAAAGAACATTTTCATTATCAAAGAACATTTTCATTCAGTCTAGCCAGAGTTCAGGTGCACTCTCAAAAACTCCCATTAAAACCACTGAAGCTGTTTACACTGTGAAATGAATATCTTGTATGCACATCTGCACTTTGTTGTTTCTGATAAGAGAATTCGACAGAGAATTCAGTCAGCGAGCGAGTGAGTGAGTGAACTAAACACCGCGTTTCAGCGATGACTCATCTGATTGTCTCTGATTGGCCATTGCATTCATAAGCTCAACAGACTCGTGTGTGATTGGTTAATGCAGTGCTGTACAAACTCGCCTGTCTCTGGCTCAGCGCCAGCCAAAGCGCAAACGCAGATTTGAATAGCAGCTGATGCTGTGCCGCACTGAACGATCTAATCACACCGGTGCGATTGAGGCGCTCGTCATGCTTGTCATTTAACACACAGCAGCCATGACAGAACTGTATAACTGATATATGCTTGCTTTTTTTTTCATTTTATTCGAAATATTTCCAAACGTGGTAACTATATCGGGAAATATCTCGATTCTCAAATATGTGTACGTAAATGCGTTTTGCACCTTTATAGATTATGTTATTTGATCTATAATGGGTGATGGGAAATCTATTCACTACACATAAAAACCCGTCTTTTTACTTAAAGGTACAATAGGAGATCTTGGAAAATGCTAACTTTAGCCTGATAGCACTGAAAGCGAACGTCCCACCCTCCCTGCAATCGCCTCGTGACAATACATTGATGTCTAAAGACACGAAATGATCGGTCTGTGCAAGAAACTGAACAGTATTTATATTGTTTTTTACCTCTGATTCACTGCAATGTCCGAACTGTCCTGAGCACGTGACGCGTCTTCTTCTTCAGCCGGCGCCTGACATGTCGTCTTCTTCTTGCTTTACGGCAGATCGCAGACTTATAAGTGCATTACCTCCAACTATCTCTCAAATGGACCATTGACACTCCTAACTGAGATTGTAGATAGAGTGTCAATGGTTCATTTGAGAGATAGGTGGCGGTAATACACTTATCTGCCGTAAAGTAAGAAGAAGAAGACTACTCACGCACAGGCTGAAGAAGACGACGCGCTCAGGACAGTTAAGACA